GTTGTGTTGTATTCAAATGCAAGTGGTATGATCCACGACCCAGAGTTGGAACTAGAGTGCACGACAAATATGACTTGGTTGAGGTTTTAAAAAGTGGGATATTCCGCAAATATGAACCATTCATCCTTGCAACACAAGCTAAGCAGGTGGCCTACGTAGAGTATCCTAGAGTAGCTAGTAGGGCAAAAGGAGAATGGTTAGCTGTTTGTGATGTAAAACCACGTGGCTGGGTTGAAACCACATCTGATACACAAAAGCTCAAGAGTACTGACGATTTTGCGTACCAAGAAGACGCAAGAGTGGCAGTCGAAATTGTTGAAGTTGAACCGCACGAGGAAGCTCCACTACTTGCAGAAGTTCCACAGTTAATTGATCTCGATGATAGTGAGGACGAAGAAAGTGATGATGTTGAGACATTAATTACTACTGATGAGAGCTCTAGCGAAAATGTGTTCATGTCCGATGATGAATTATCATAAAATAGACTTTAATACAAAAGGTGGTTGAACAAATATATTGTTGTATTCATATTATTAACTGTTTTACTAATTAATTACTCTTCTTTGCAGATGGCTGGTGGAGATAAGGGTAAAGGTCACGCAGAGCAAACAAAGTCCAATACTGGGAAGTGGAAAGAACTTTCTAGGTTGCGACATGCCATCCTTGGTGGTGGTAGATCAAGCGGCACATCGGCCAGCGCATCTGCGAGTGCATCAGGCAGCGCATCAGCCAGTGCCTCAGCCAGCGCATCAGCGAGGGCATCAAGTACTGCCACTGTCAGAGTGCCTACTGGGCCTCACGGCACGAATGTCACTAGCACCTCTTCCGGAGGGTTTACACGTTCCACTGATGAGTCCAGGATGCATGTAACGCCCTGAAAACTGGTCTAGAAATTTTAACTTTCTAGTACAAAGAAATGAAAACAATAAAAAAAATTAAAAAAAATATATGCGAAAATAATAATAATAATAATAAAATTTAAAATTTAAAAAAATGTTACTATTATTTATTTAGAAAAAATTAATTTGGAATTTAATATTAAATGATTAATTACTAGTAGAGATGAAAAAACAGAGTAAAGTGAAAGGGAATAAAAAAATTAGTTTGGTTCTCTACTATTCACATAATTTGTTCAAATGAACCTAGTTTCTTAACAAACAGATTATGTTAAAATGATGTGTGAAAAATATGAAAATTAACGGTATAAGTTTTATATTTTTCTATAAATATTTAATAAATGAAACTGTGGAAATCGGACACATAATACTAAATAAACGGAGCAGGAAAACATTTGTTTTCTCCTCCTCTCTCACGCCACATAGTAATCTCCACCCTCCCCCATTCATTTCACCTCATTAATTAAGAGGAGTAATGATTTATTTTAATAAAAAAAATATAATGATATTTTTTTAAACCATTCATTTACCCTCCTTCTCCCTATAAATATGGTCTCCTAGAATGAGAAGGAAGCAAGATCATTTGAAGGAAAAAAAATATATAGCTAAGTAGGTTGAGAGGGTGTGTGAGTAAGAGTGGGTTGTGGCGTTGCCGAGGGGTGGAGAGAGACGTGGGGGACGTATCACGAAATCATCCCATCAACGTTGTCAAGCTATCATTTTGACTAAACAGACACTGAAGGTGTGCCCGTTGACCCTAACCTTTAGCCATATATTTCATGTTCATCTATTTTTTTGCATTTTGTTATCCTGTTATTTACCCAAAGGATCGATTCGAGCTTTATTTAAATAAAAAAAATCGAACGCCCCACTCACAAATCTCTAGAAGATAAAATTACTAAATAATTTTGTTTCAAACATGATTGCATTTATACATAATCTAAGTTTAAAGGTTTGTTTTAATAAGTATGAAAAAAGAATATAACGAAAAAATAATAGAACCATTAAAATTATTGTAGTATATAACACTCGGCCAGGGGAAATATGAACTACTTTTATATTAGATGTTTTATTTTGTTCCATTATATTTATTTGACCTTTGATGTTAGAAAAAAATATTTATTTTGAGTAAAAACCATCTTATAGGGGCCGAAACCCAAAGTACATGATTAATGAGTTGTTGGATGGTTTGTAAATAAATTAAGTTTTACGCATGGAAAAAAAATAAGTTGACCATTGTTTTTTCGGGGGGTTAGATGCGTACGTATACATATGGTGTATATACTTACTCTATTCGTACTTAGGTATTGTACCTAATTCCATTTGGCCACTGAATTAAATAATTAAATGTTGAATATTTATTTTTATGTATATGTAGATAATTGGTTTGTCTTTCAAAATTATAAGTGAAATAAAAAAATCCAAATTTTAAAATGTATTATGTACAAGGGCCGAAACCCCTAGCTAATTGAATAGATAAAAAAATATCTTAAGTATATATGTATAATAAGTTGAGCCAAGTAATTAATAGTTATGCTATGAACTATTTGGATGTCAAATACCTGCATTTTTAATTACATATTTACAAATATGTATATGCAAGTATATACAAACTAACCTTTAATATTCAAGTGACACTTTGTGGTTCTATGTAACAAATGGATATTTGGAGTATATAGGGGGCGTCAATCAATATATTATTTTGAAGTGATTTTTGTTTGAAATTGTCAAAAGGATTTATTCGAATGATTATACTATGGTTAACCAAACAGCAAGTGGACGAAGTAAAATTTTTAAGTTTCTTTTAATGACGTACCCTGACCAGGTATTGTCACGTTTTATCAAGTGGGTCAAACCACATGTTATAAGGCCGGATCGTATGTGTCCAAGTGGATGAGCCTACAAATAATCATACCACAACGTGCGCACGAGAACCCAACAATGACCCCGTGGGTCTAGGGTTCACTTCTGATTACTGGACCCAAGGTCACGGGGAGGTATCCGAAGTAAAACTACGTATCGACTAGTGCGGTGTTCCAGCCTAGTCACGTCTTAATCTCTAATGCAAGGTTAACCTAGAAGGAAAAAGTCTAATATTTTCTAAATATCCCCAAGTAATTACTAAAGTGAGATTATTTTTCTCCAGGATTTTAAATATGTGAAAAACATTGGAATTATATTAAAGAACTTAAAATGCTTTAAAATATATTTGCATGTTATATATATCTACTGGTTATTTGCCACTCAGTTTATGCTGAGCGTGTAGTGTTTAACTACACGCAGGAACTAGCAAAGGAAACATCTGCTCAGGAGGAAAGCTTGGACGTGGAGGCCGTGCTAAAAAAGGAAATTCTGTTTAAAATAAATAATTGAATAAATTATTGAACATATTTTGGTTTGGGCTTGAACCCCAAGTTGTACTTACTTATGAATGTTATTACTCTTTTTACTTACTCGAAAAAAATCTTTAAACTCTTTAGTATCGTAATGAGAATTTTTTTTTTAATAAAAAAATGTTTTACTAAGCAACCGGGTTTTACTAGCACTCTAGTCTGGATGACTCGGGTCATCCAGGGTAGGGTGTTACAATGCACGATGATGAGAGCATGGACTCAGACGAGTCGATAGAGCACGAGCATGACGATGCTATGAACCTTGGACCGAGCGTAGCATACTTTAATCGCTCTGGCAGGTGATTCTACATATATATCTTATTATTTGCATGTATACACGATTATAATATATATTATAATGTTGTAATTATAATATCATGTAGTGTCGTCTTCACGGAAGAGGGAGCTCGGATCATTTGTTCCACATTCGAGCAGAGGCTCAATCCAACAGGGGGGTAGTTGGAAGAGCCTAAGCGACGCGACTGTGGACTTTTACTGGAGAGAGTTTCAGGTAAAATTTGGTTAGATACGAATATCAAATGTATGCTTTCTATATTTTGTATTTTATTTAAGATATTTTCTAACATGTCCGGTCTAACTTTTTTTTTTAAATTTAGAAACATGCCACTTGGGACCCTCGCATTGATGATAGCGTTATGTTCCGTGCTTGGCGATCGAAGGCTAGAAGACGATACACCGACTGGCTCTCATCTATTAGGAATGAGAAGAAAGGAACAGAGAAGGTGCAGCCACTTGTACCGGAATCGTGGAAGGAGGTATTTCTAAATATCTTTTGAATTGATGAGTTATGTTATACTTAGCATCAAATTGTGTGTATATATTTGTATTCTTGTATTTATATGTTGTTAAACAGTATTGGAAGTCACCAAAGTTCTTGGCATCCTCCAAGAAAAACAAGAAAAATCGGCGTGGCGGTGACGAGAATGCCCCTGCTAGCGCCACGCACACCGGTGGTCCATTGTCTTTTCGCGAGACTCAAGCGCGCCTTGTAAGTATTGTTAGTAACAAAAATTACATTTAAATGTTCTAAGTGACGTATTTTCACTTATTTATATATTTTATTTTTTTAGGGTAAAAGTGGAAAGGCTTCTGACTTGTACTCTTCGTACACACACACACACATACGAAGAAACATGATGGGAAGACCTACGTCAATAGGAAGGCAGAAGAAGTATCAGTAAGTGACAATGAATATATATAATGTATATATAAATGATTAGTTTATGTTACAAAGTATATATACATGTATGTTTTGTGTATTGCAGCAAAACTACGTAGCCATGCAGGAGGCAGTTCGTGAAGAGGGCTTAAATGTGACACCTGACGAGATTTTTCTATCTACAGTCGGAGGACATGATGCCAAGAATCGTGTTCATGGTGTTGGAGATCTCGCACGGAGCCTACCACGAATGCATGCAAGTGAGGCAAGACGTGCTAGCACCAGCTCTATGTGGGACCCTCGAGATGATGAGATTCGGAGGTTGAGAGAAGAGCTAGATGAAATTAGGGCTTCCCAAGCTCGTGAATTATTGTCGATTAGAGAAGAGATGACCCGACTTTATGGAGGAGTTTTCCCACATGGAAATGGAGATGGCGATGGAGGAGGGGCGGGATTTGTAATAGCTTGTTGAGTGTTATATTAGAATTGAAGAACAATATATTAAACTTAAGTTTTATGGTTATGTAAGTGGAGTTAGATTTGATTGTTATGTTGAATTTTTATAAATATTATTTGAAATTTAGTTGTACATTGGTGACTTGAATATTCTTGGTTGTTTGGTAATCTTCATTTCCAGTAAATGTTGTTGTTTGATGCTGGGATTTCTGAGCTTTGCTATGGATGTGTGCAAAATTGAAAAAACAGCAGCTTCCTGGTACAACCTGTCAAATTGGCGACGGAATTGGCAACGGAATTGCATTTCCGTCGCTATATGGTCAAAATGAATATTCCGTCGCTATTTCCGTCGTTAGGATTAGCGACGGAAAGTTTCCGTCATGAGTTCCGTCGCTTAATTCCGTCGCCAATTCCGTCGTAGACTAGCGACGGAATCAAAAATCCGTCGTTACATTTACTACTAACGAAAAATTAACGACGGAAAAGATTCCGTCGTTATTTCTGTCGTTATGGAGATTACTTACGGAAATAAGGCTTTGGCGACGGAATTATTCCGTCGCCATTTCCGCAGTTTTTTGAAGTGCCAGCGGCTCATGATCTTTTAGGTGTTGGTGCTCAAAAAAATCAAGGGGACGGGGGTCCATTTGCAAGTGGTCAACCGGTTAGATTCAAAATTGCGTGGTCATCCACTTGGGGAGGGTTAAAGAGTATCCCACATCGTAAAAGTGTGAGGAAAATAATAAGTATATAAGCTCTTAACTTGAACTAAGTAATCGGTTGGATTCAATCTTTTGATGTGGTTCAGCCAAAGTGTCTTATAGCCCAACCCAGTTATCTCTACACAATTTTAAATTCTATTAGTTTCTTTCAACTCCTTTTGATTTTTCCAACTCATTATTTTTTTCAACTCCTAATTTCTTCTAACGCATTCTAGTTTCTTCCAACATCCACCTCTATTTTTACAACGAAATGAAGAGAACATCATTTAATCTATACACTAGAGTATCTCTATAGTTCTCAAAAAATTCAGTCTTGTATTTTTAATAAAAATATATATATAATTATTGACCAAATTGGATTAGATTAGAAATTTAAGTAGTAAATTAAATTTTTAATTATATCAGCTAATTTAAATTGACATTTTAATTTCAAAAATGTCGACGAAAATATTATCGAAACTAAATGTAAACAAAACAAAAATTATTAAGATAAATAAAATATTTTTCAATAATTAGCCAAACTTAGATAAATAAAATATTTTTCAATAATTAGCCAAACTTTGATTCAATTTGATCTGAATTTTTGAAGTTCTGATCTGATTGGATCTGATATGAACTGATTGGATCTGATTTTATCTTATTAGATATCGTGTAAATGAATATAAATTTAATAGTTTTAAAGTATTACGATTCATATATATGTAATAAAAGTAAAGTAAGAAAATCAACTAATCATGGATATATTTAAACTTTTTTTAAAATATTAAACATCGTTTTATTATCACTACTTTTTTAATGTTTGTGAAAATTAAATTATTGGTATTAAAATATCCAAATATTAGAAAAGATGGATGCTATTCTATAAAAATATCACATTCTATATGCATACTACATAATAATATATTTAATGTTACAAATTTATGATATATAAAATCTTAAACACTAATATTCCTTTCACCTATATTAATTTTGTCATAAACTCACCATTGTATATATTATACCATCTTAAAGTTTAAAAGTAAATATTTTTAAGTATAAGATATTTATTTTTTTGAAAACTAAGTTTTGTATCATTATTGTTAAACAAGTATTTTAAAATAACTTTTTTAAACTATGAAAAATATAACTTTTTAAGCTTTAACATTACTTCCATGCATCATTCCTACAAGCTAAGTAATTATTTAAAATAATGGTTTGTAGTTGAGATATAATAATAATAATAATAATAATAATATTTAAAATTGTAATATTAATTAACATTTAGGTGTTTGTAGCTTTAAATAAAGTAATGTGATTTAATCAAATTATTATTATTATTTAATCCTTGAAAAATATAATTTTTTCCTGATTTGATATTCTTTAATTTGATCTGGTCTGATCTGATTGGATCTGGTTCGATCCGATTAGATCTTGTCTGATCAGATCGGATCTGGTTTGATCTGATTGCATCTTAATATTAGACTTATTGTCAATCTGGTCTAGTCTGATTTTAATAAAAATAAACAATAAGTAAAAAAAATAAGTCTTGCGAAACAGACCTCAAGTTTAGACATGCCTTGCTAAGCACTGGATTAGGATCCAATTTGACAATAAGTCTAATATTAAGCTGCCAAGCAACTACTTAAGCTTCAATGAATAATTCGTCATTACTCATACTCTTTTTTTCAAATAAATATGTAAACAACTAAATGGATTAAACTTAAATATTGGACTCAGCTAAGGAGGGGAACTATTAAACAACTTGCTTATATAGATAAAAAAGAAAAAGACAATTCACCATAGTTGATAGTTCAATGGGGTACCAATGACGATTGTTGGAGTTTGCCGTTCTTTGGGTTTTTCGTCAAAACTTCTTGTTCCTCAACTCAAGGTGAGTGTCACTGCCTCTATAATAATTAATGCTTAATATAATGTGTTAATCTATGTGATGGGATTCAGTCCAACAACTATGGCGTGTGAAGAGCAGAATAATAATAATAATAATAATAATAATAATAATAATAATAATAATAATAATAATAATAATAATAATAATAATAGTATTAGTGAAAATAATAACACTTACATATTTATATTAGCTATATCCAACTTGCGTTACTGTGGAAGGTTTACCCTCTATATAGAGTCTACTTCTACCGTATACAAGGCATGCAATATTTCGTGCGCTACATTATCGATAATTCTCTAATCATGCATCAATTATGGTGGGGAATCAGTCATCACCTCCCCCTTTATCACACAATTTGGGGAATCGCACTTCATTCAAGTATCGGGCTTGACCCGACACTCTAGTCCACCTTCAGCCCTTGACTCTACATTCTGTAGTTGGATTTATATCCCTATTGGGCTGTGGAATCACAATTGGACCGTCCATATCCAATTATCGGGCCCGGATATCCATCACAAGCCCCCTAGTTCCTTAGTGACGCGTCGCCAAGGAACTAATGATGAGCCGCCATTGATCATCGTGCCGGATTAGAAACATTCTCACTCCTTACTCGAAATTCAAGTCGTAATGTCTATTAACCCGCTCCACTTTGACGACCCGTTTATGCCTTCACATCATTCTTGACCCAATCTCAGAGTTATCTTCCACAATCCACATCTTTCCTTCTTAAATTTCTGCAGTATGACTTCCCAATCCTCCGACATAGAGCAATGGCAGCCTGAATCCTCCACGATTAAGGATTTGGAGCTTGTCCTCATGCATGACCTTCTAGGATATCCATTTAGAGTCCATCATCCAGATGCCGTGGGTGGAATCAATCTTGTTTATAATCTAGAGCCGGAGCGCTTCCTTGTTATAGACTATGACTCAATCCTCCATGGTTTCTGTAATACCCCAACTCGCATAACCCAATTACCTAGGTTATTTGAGCTAGAGTGGTTACCAAGATGGTAATTGTGGATGATAACTTGATGAATAATTTAAAACTAATTAAACTTTAATATAATTAATAAGTTCTAATATTTATTTCGTAGTAATGTCTGAAATAGTGCGGAAGCTTAATAGATAAAACATAATCAAATTCATATAACATTTTCTGGGTACTCGCCCAAAAAGGTAGTTTATTTAAATAATGCATAATAGACAACGCTTATCAGGGACCATCAGCATGGTCGCCCCTTCAGTGGTGGCTTGCACTCGAATGGAAGAAGTGGTGTTTTGCTGACTATTTGACATGTTTTGTAAGTGGTGTTTCGTGGGTGAGAATAAAAAAGAACTCAAACCGGTCCCACGGTCAGCGCCAAAAATGATGGTGTAAATTACCACCCGGACAAACTACTCCACACCGGGTCTAGGATGGTTTGCTGAGTTTAGAAACTAAAGTGGCACAAAAAACAAAAGTTGACCGGAGGACTGTAGGTGGAAACACCTGTAGTCCAATTGTTATTAAGTATATGGAATAGTACGGGGTAGTATTACACAGTGCTCTTAAGAGATAAAGTTCGGATCCCTTCTATTAAGGGTTACAAGGCCATTTATAGTAGAACCTAGGGGACAAGACAAATAATGCCCACGTCGCCCCACATTCTTGAACGGTGCGAGGTGACTTCTCTTGTCACGTAGCGTTTATCTCACTCATTTGTCGGCTTGTGCTGATGACACCTCTCTTGGCGCGTAGTGTTTGGACGACAATATCTAGATATTCTCCACGATCTTCAGTCGCTACCATCCAACCATGCTTGGATTATTCTTGCCGACACATGTACACCCAAACTGGCCACCCAGTACAAGTTCCAAAAACTTGCCCGGGTAGTTTCTTGAAGGAAAGTCTGATCACTCGAGGATCCCCATGTAGTTTCATGCTAGTTGACCGGGTGCCCAATAGTCACTCGAGTAGTCTTGGTTGAAATCCACCCGGGTAAGGTACAGATCCACCCAAACAACCCTGCTGCATGGTACCTAGACTTTTCCCGGGTGGTCTTGGTTGAAACTCACCCTGGTAAGGTACAGATCCACCCAAATAACCATGTTGCATGGTACATGGACTTTGCCCCGGTGGTCTTAGTTGAAATCCACTCGGGTAAGGTACAGACCCACTCAAACAACCCTGCTGCATGGTACCTGGACTTTGCCCGGGTGGTCTTGGCTGAAACCCACCCAGGCAGGATACAGATCCACCCAAACAACCCTGTGGCATAGTACTTGAACCTTTTCTGGGTGGTTTTGAATGGGGCCGACCCGGGTCATGGTCTGGGTGGATTACACCCATCAACAGTAAAATGTGAAATTAATTTAGAAAGATCAGATATAATTGATATTATTCTTGATAACTTTTTTATTAATATTAGAATTCATTCAGGCTAGGCGAGTGTGCGGGGGTGAACATAAAGTCTAAGCCCGGCCTTCAACTATGCGGGCTGTCTTTACAAAGCTCGAGTCTAATCCGTATTTTAAAATAGGGGCGGCCACGAAAACCGTTCCCGTTGACCCGTTCCAAAACGTGCCGGAACCGTTTTGAAATTGTACCTTTTTTTTTGGATTCAAATTTTTTTTTGTCTCGAACCCGTTCTGTCCCGATTTTAAGTGGGACATTACCGGGATAACATACAAGTGTACCGTTCCATCCCGTTTGTCCCGTTTTATATACTCTTCTAAAACATTATATATATATATATATATATATATATATATATATATATATATATATA